AGCATAAAATGATCCTGAGAGAAGATTTTCTTTTTCCATGGGTTAATGTCAGATGGAGTACAAATTCTGCTCTGAATTAAGATTATCTAACATCTGACTAAAAGAAATTCTAAATTATTCATTCAGGATTCTCAGAATTAGAACCACATACCCTCATCAAAGATGAAGGGCTAATGAGAAGGGATTTTGACTTTTTTGATTTTTTTTTTTTCATTACACTACTCATAAGATTTTGATTTTCCACAAAAATAAAACCTTTCTATATAAGAACAACATCCTGAGTCAAAAGGAATAACCTTTACAAGAACACAGCAAACGGTGTCTACACTGATTTTGGGGATTTCTTTCTTCAGTTTAAGATTTTATGTCAGACACATCACACAGCAGTTTTCAACATGTTTTTTTGTCATATCAGTTTTTTGGTTTTGTTCCAGTAGCTGCAATTTACACAACAAGGGGTATATCTTATTATATTCACCACCAAGATAGAAGGAAAGTTTTGTGATCAGAATACATCTAACACTGAGATGCCTTGAGTTTGTTGCCAGAGGTTTTTGTCAAAATGCTTTTTTTATTTTAAAGTAAAAATAGGTAGAATAACTAAATAAAGTGACAGTGTACATCCCTAGAGGAAGTATGATTTGCTTCAGAATGAACAAAGCTAATATACTCAAGACCAAATCGTGTAAATTCTTGTTTCTGCTCTATTAAAACTGCTGCGTTGTGATTAGAAAGAAAATAATGATTTAGGTAGGCCTGAAAAAGCTGATTAATTAATCCTCTCTGTTATTATTGTTATTGTAAAAAATGTAAGTCTGTTCATTAGAAATTCAGACTTTGATCACAGGAACCTGTCCTTTCATCTGAAAAATTTAGCCCATAAGTTTGTCAGGTGGGATTCTTTTCACATTGTGTCTTAAAAAGCCAAAGTGTTACTCCCTTATTAATTACTGTCTTGTCCAACTAGTCTGTTCATTCCAGGGGGATTGAATGGGAGAGTAACTGCTTTTCACTGCACTAAAAGTAACTGTCTAGTTTTTAAAGACTAAATAGATGAGAGTTTATATGTCTTATTCTATCAAATATTTAGTTTCTTAAAAACTTTGGCTTTATAGTACCTCAATTTGCTGTACTATGAGGATCAACTTGAAAAATGATACCATTGATTCACCAATATCAGATTTTTTCTTGAAAAAAAAAAAAAAAAAAGTAGACACTCAAAAATAAGAACCTAAATTCAGAAATTACCTGAAATAAAGTACTTCTCATCTGTTATTCCCACTTAGTCAATATATAGCAGTAAAACCTATTTCTGAGAGTACATTTGTGCAATATACTCCTTATCTCTATTGAAGAGACTTGAGCAAGAAGCTGTGAAATCCCAGGTTTCATGCACTCGCCCTCATCTGCTCTTCCCTCTCCCAAGTCATTTATTCACATTATATCCCAATTTTTTGTTCTTCCCATAGTGCCAGTGTTCTGTACTAATATCACAGTTGAGCTATGGAGAGTTTTCCTGGTCTCTATAAACTGATGCGAGTGGTCTCCAATACTACAGGAAGAATCCCAAGCCTTTGGGAAAGTTGTTTAAATAAACTCCACCTGTATGGAACAGATGCAGGAATTACCATGCCAGGAGCTGTACCAGGCCCCTCCTTCACGTATTTATTTGATTATGAGCTGAGCTGGGATCCCATGCCATGGGATAATGCTATAAACTGCCATGGTTTTAGCAGAGCTGCTGGGAAAATGAGAAAGAAGCATTTCCCAAAACCAGAGTCACCTTTCCTGTTTTCTGTCTTCTCAAGGAGGAGCTAGAAACTTACTCCATACAACTGGAAATATGAATGTTGGATTAAATGTGCTGGAGAAAGCTGTAAAGAAAATTGATTTTAAAAAAGCCATACTGAATACTGATATTGAATAAAGGAGGAGGAAACACAACTCTGGCATTCAAATTAAATAATATGATACAAATTATTTGTCAACCTTTTGTAGGCAGCCACCTTGATGCTTGCAGCATATTTGCATCTGTTTCAACCATAAAGCAGACAGATTATTCTCCCTCTCCTGGAATGTTTCCCCAGATGGGCAGCAGGTGAAATAAACATTGTCATTACAGGAGGAGGAATCAAAGGGTGAGCTCCCAGCCCTGACCCAGCCCTGCATTCCTGTCTTCTCCTTTTCAAGAGCCCACAGGTCACATGCAGCACTACCAGGCTTAGAAGGCACTGATGAATGTTTCATTTCTCTATTACTTGGAGAAAACCATAGCATCTATGTACATGGAGAGAGAAATAGACCTCTAAATAAGCATTCATAAAGGAGAACTCTTGCCCTCTTGTTTAAAAGCAATGTCCAGTTATATACACTTCAAATTCTCAACTATTTCTTGATGCTGGTTGTGCAGATTTATAAAAAGTATCTTTGCTGTTGGTCAAAAAATATTTTTGCTTCTTTATAGAAAATGTGTGTGAAAAATATTGCAATCATTTTTATCTAAAGTAAATATTAAACTCTTTATTTCAAAGGGAAATGATAAGCAATTTCTGGTTTAATTTTAACATTAGAAAATTAAAACCTGTATTTCAAGAATAAAATTACTTTAGAATGAACTTTGGGCAAAATCAATTTAAAGGCTTCTAATGACTCTAATAGGTTTTGGACCAGGTCTGAAGAAGATAAATTATGAACCTACCTTCTTTTCTCTCTCCAGGAACTCATGAGATCTTACCATCAGAGTGTAAATCTCAAAGGAGCAGCTTGCTGCTGCATTTATTTATCACCTCCTAAAGTTCATTGTAGTTCTTGGGGGAATCAGTTTAATTACAACAGTAAATACTGTTCTAAATTTTTTCACTCCATGATGAAAAAGTATGCAGCCATAATTACAGTCTGTGCATAGCATGCTTTGTCTCTGATTTAGTTGTTTGCCAAAAAGCCATTTTCATGTGCTAATATTGCAGCAGTAACAGCATCACATGGAACATGTCACCCAGCTGCACTGGTGTGCACTCAGTGTTTATGGCCTCCTCATGGAGGTGACTTGCATTGTACAGGGCCAGAAGGAAGGACAGCAGAGAAGGGATGAAAGATCTTTTACTTCTGCAGTCTCTCTCTTTTTAAACAAATTAGTCTGAAGGTTTCCCACCCACTTCACTGAGCACAGTTCATTGTGAAAAACAAAAGCACCACTTTGTTTTTCTCCTTTTTATTGCAGTGCCATGTGCTTGCAGGGAAGGCTTAAGCCCTCAGCTGGAGGGGTTTGAATCTGGTCCTTCAGGAGGGTGGGGAGGCAACAGAGTTTTGGGGCAAGGCATGATGGCTGCTCTTGGGAAAAGAGGGCTGGGAGTCATATCTTGAAAACTTGAGATTACAGGAGAGATAGGCAGCCTGCTTTTATTCTTACTTTAATAACATCAGGAACAACTTACTCTTCACTCTTAATTGAAGTTCTCCTCTGCAGGAGTTCAAAAAGAGCTTACCAGGCTTGTGTGAATAAATGATTGTCTAACTGTCAAATAGCACAGACCACCTTGATTTTGTTGCTGCCAGGTCATCCAAAAGTGCCAGTGCTCCATAAAAGAATCAATCCTGTGAAAGCACTAGATGTCTGTTAATAGATTTTTTTTTCTCTCTCTCTCTCAAATAGAATTGGTTTTCTGTTGGTCTAAGAAGAGATTTCTCATAGACCCCCAACTATCATACTGATAAAATTAAAGCTGCACTAATTCACAGAAGAGAAGGATAGCAACATATGAAGGTTTTCAAATTAAAGCTTAGATCCAATCACTTTATGAACCAAAACATATTATCTTAAGCAGTTGCTGCTAAACTGCCAGTCACATACAGGAGGAAATCTTGGCACCATCCCCTGAAATCTCTGATGTGTATCAGAGAGGCAGGCAGAAGAAGATATTTTGTCCTTAATAAATCATAAAGGTTATTTAATCTGCTACTCCATACAGAATGAAGTATTTTTAAATATATTTACCAAATTTATTAGTAGATTTCAGTTCCTTAGTTTAAGTGTAAATTAAATTCAGTGGTGAAGGAACACTTTGAAAGTTTCTTGGTGTGAGGTTTCTGTGTCCCACTGAAAGCAGATGTATAGTTACAGAGCACAACATGAAACACAGATTATTGTGCTCTGCTGATCATTCTTAAAAATACTTCATGGAAATAAGTTAGTTAAAATTAATTTATTTTGATTGTGAAATTCTTCAGTTTCACCAGGAAATACAGTATATATCTTTACTATCAAAGAAAAACTGGAAGAGAAAACAATGTTACCTTAACATCATACTTTCTGAAAAACACATTTGCAGTTTTAGAAAACCACTAAATTAAATCTCATTTTAAGATAAAGATGTTGAAATATTTGAATATATTTGTATGGAAGTCATTTAATTTAAGTTTAGTAAATATTTTGCATGTTTAGATTGAACTCATTAAGCATTTTAGATTTGGAGAAATATTTAATTTGCTGTCACAATATGTAGGACTAAAAGCGTGGGTTACTTCGAATCAGATTTTGGCAGAGAGGAGTAACATCTTTTAGTGTATATGCTGCATCATTAATTTTGAATTAAACATTTTTGGTTTGAGATATTTATTCAAAATTTTCCAATGACATTCTAAAAATAATGTCACATTCTTTGCTTAAAATTGATGCAGTTGTTTTGCTGATAAGTCCTAAAAACAGTGAAAGAAACAATGTATATATTTCAGCCATTATTTTTGGCATGGCAACCGAAATAGAATTTTTCTTTGTTTTTAAATTAGCTCTGGATCAGAATATCTCATTGGAAAGTATTAACAAAATGGATCTGACTAATATCCATATATTGTAAGCTGTAGATCTATATATCTATAATTGCTTTTTTTTCCTGATTTCAATCTAAGCACAGGCAGTTACAGGAGGGTGTGATGATTATCGTGTTATTTATGCTCAAATGAGGTGCAGGAGTCTCATGGTCCCTTGAGAGATCTTGATCTCATTTTCCTGCTGGATAAAACTCCTGTTTTACTGCATGAGCAATTCTGAGATTCAGAGAGTCAATAGAACTCTGCTTCCCCAGGATATTCAGATCAACTTTCCCTTTTGGTTAATCCCTTAGGCGGAGAGCATGTCACCTCCAACATCTAGAGAGACAGACTGCTTTATAATCAAGCTGTGTGCATCAAGCTGGAGCTCTGCAGACCTGAAATTAGCAATGAGGGACAGAGCACGGGTATGTTTTAGGGTGTTTAGAACCATGTACTGGTATATTCTTAAGATAAATGGAAGGATCATACCTCTGACTTTTCTTTTCTCACCCAGGAGCACCAGATGTCATCAAGAGCCTCCAGCAGAGGCCCTTTTTCCAAGTACCTCACAGACTATGAGGAAATAATTTCTTACATCATAATTAGAGGCTGATCTTGTCACATGAAAGTTCCAATTCATTTTCTGATTCCTGCACATAGCTCATACATCCTAAATAAATCCTCTCCTATCTTTTGATGCTTTCTGATTACACAGAAATGCTTTATTTTCTCCCACATCTTCCTCTCCCCCAGTAAATGGCTCTAGGGCACATCATTCAGGGCAGGGGCTTCACCAAGCTGTAATCACTACTTGCTGTTCTGCTGTATCTGCTTTGTGTATTGTCATCTTCATTCTCCAGGCAGGTCAGTGAAGCTCTACCTGGATAGGCAATTTTGAAAAGAATGTAAATGATCATGTTTTAATGGGAGATGCATTAATTGCAGATTCTGGTAAATAACTATTTATGAAATCCCCTCAGTGTGTTTCCACCACATCAGGAATTAATGTCAGGTGAAGACATTTGTGTATGAAATGCTTGGCTCATGATTGACACAGGCATTGAGTCAGAGAGATTGAAATAGCTCAGGAGTTACTGTCTACACAGGGAAGTATGTTAAAAATAAATAAAAATATGAGCACTTGTAAAGAACAGGGACCTGGTTTTCCCTTCCTGTCTAAATTTGTAATCCTGCACTGAGCTTAGCTGTATTTAACAGCCTGAGAATTGGAGTTAATGAGCAGTGCTGAACTCTTACAGGTAAATCCTCCAGGGCTGCCATCACTCTGCAGAGGCCTTAATTATGAGGGGTCTTTGGATTGTTATTTTGTTTTTGTTGGTTTGTTATTTTGGGGTGTTTTTGTATTGCCACCAAACAACTTGAAATGCAATCTTCCTAAAAACAAAGAACAAAATGTAGTCCTTCAGCTTGCCATTACTTTGCTAACTATTATTTTGATGTTGGAACTTAAGCTTGTCAAGCATTCTTAATGAAAAAAATGGGACAGGATGAAGGATTTGTCATACCAGTTCAAAGTTTTGGCTGCTTACCCGAGCAAAGGCAAATTAGAAGGCAGATAAAAGTTTTAAGGAAAGCAGGTTTAAGGGTTGTGTGGGGGCTATTTACAGTAATATACAGGGAAACCAGCTTTTTGTTCTCTCTAAATGGGGTATGTGAAAGTCAAGGCTGTGACTAAGACTGCACAGCTGGTTACAGCAAGAACGGCTCGTTGTATTTGATTTTCTTGGGATTGTTGCTCACTCCCATTTTTATCAGCACAGCATCATTGTAATTTTTCTCCAAGGTTGGGTATGAGAACATAATGCTCTTTGTGGAGTAATTAGGGTGCTCATATAACACAAGCAAACATGCCTCACAGCTGGAAACCTCTCCTTTAGAAATTACTTAGAGGGAATTTGCTTTCAGAGCCTTGTAGAATAGCTCAGTGTAACAGGAGAGATTCCCATCCCACATTGAAGTCTGTTTCTCAGCCACAGTGAGCAAGTGAATGACTATAGCCTTTAAAAGGAGATTTACTTCACTCTGCACTTCGAAACTTAAGCAGGATCTGCTGAGTAAAGATTAAGCCATATAAATTGAAGTGGTTGGATTTTGTGTGAGATGATTTCCGTGGTAGGACTTAGCCTGCTTTTACTTTGCATTAGAAGATGTGCAATTAGAAGCACTAAAAGCTACTAAAGAGGGGGTTGGAAATAACATATATCACTCATCCTTTCCCACAATGGGAAGATGGGATGTATTGTTTCCAGCTCTAACAAGTAATTCTCAGTACCGTTTTGCTTCTTTTCAGATGTATTATTTTACAGTGTTTATATCTTTTCCATCTAAAGCTCCCCACAGTCATAAAAAAAAACCTAATGCCATTTCTTTTTCAAATTTTAAAGTACAAGATGTTAAGGGTAAAGCCTGTAACTGAGGTGTTAGGACAAATCCACCCTGCAGCTCTATCTCTGGGAACTCCACATTTGTGCCTGATCCCTGTCTCACATTTTCTGTGTGCACACACACCTGAGCAGTGAGGAGCCTCCTGTATATTTATGTTGCTTAAGGTTTTCCCAGAGAAAAGCTTTTTTGACCTTTCTGTGAGAAGCTTGAGGAGCTCTGTTGTTTGCAGAGGACTTTTGAAATAGAGCCATGCAGTCAGAGCATTGCCTTTCTTTGTCCTGAGATTCCAGTCAGGTTCAGCTGAGGTATAAAGATGCAGTTATCAGAGAAATACTTGCAGAACTTGCATTTAAGCCTTCCAGTCTAAGACCAGGTTCTTGCCATTGCCAAAAGAATTTATTGCTGGCAAAACCAGAACTAAATGGAAGGAAATGGGACAGAGATCTGAACTGGATTTCCTCCAGTAATCTGAGCAGGTTGGGTGGGGTTGTGATGTTCTCTGCACACAGAAAGTTCTGCTGAGCAAAAGCATTAGCAGTAACTGAGCCCTCAGACAAACAAACACAGTTATTTCTTCCTCCAGCTTTTAAGATCATCAAGATTATATTGACCCAATATAATACAGCAGTTTAAAATCCCATATAATTATATTATTGTCTCTGCTGGATTTGCTTTCAAATTAATTCTACTCAATGTTGTGGCAAATTAATTTTGGAAAGTCATTAGAAGCGTCAAAGTAATCCCATTGTAAATCAGTTTGTTGCTGCTATATGAGCCAAAACCTCAAAATAATAATTAAAAAAAAATAGTTGTGGAGACATTAGTAACAGTAGCTGAAGGGTTAATTAGCCTTTAATTGAGTCATTACTTGACCAGACAAATTATAAGCATATTCAGTGTGTGCCATTTTACACAAGTTTTCCCTGATTTTTTCCTAAGGTAATAGGCCTAGCAGTTAGCTGGCTGCTGCTCCTGCTATGCTTCGGCAGCTGTCATTTTGACATATTTTCTGCTTTCTTTAGAAGAGAGAGGTTGATTGAATGTGAGAAAAGTGGAACTTTGACAGGCTGTCAGAATCCCTTGCAGCACAAACCTACCTGCCAGCTAACTTGTTTCAGGTTTATTTCAAAGAAGGTTTCCAGCACACAAACTTCTATTAGTAGCCCAAGAAGGTCTTAAATAGGTAGCTGCCATTTTCTCAAAAATATAAATTACATAATTTTCCCTTAAATTGGTTTAAATTTCAGGAATTCCAAGTATGTCAGAGAAAGAAAAAGCAAGCTACCCTGTCCATATGCAAAGGCCTAGGTGGGTGAAAGACATCCTGCTCTTTACATTCTTTCATTATTTTTTTTTTTTTGTAATCAGCTATTTTCCCTAAACTATGAGCAGCCTTCTGAAATTCTGAAGTCTGTTCATGAATTGGTCAGGAGTAAACATGCTGTAAATGATCATTCCTTGATAGGGGCTCAAGATGGGAGGAGGTGCAGAGGTTGGTGTTAATGGAATGTTCTAATTAATAGCAAATCCCCACACAGCACAAATACCCTGCCCAACCATCCTGTTTTGTGCTCAGGCCCAGAGGTGCTGCTGCTCTCCTCACAGCACCAGGCCAGGGGCTTGAAAGTCCCCTTGGGTGCATTTTGCTTTCTGAGGTAGAAATGTGTGTTCTGCAAGGAGAAATCTGCAAGGAGCAGCTGCTGCCCTCCCAGCTCCGGTTTGAGTCACAGCTCTGGGTGATGCCAGCGTGGGCTGGTGGCCCTGGGCTGATTCCATGTGTGTTCTCAGCATCCTCTGATTATCTGTTCTTGCAGGTGTGACAGGGCCACTGCTCTACAGGGTTAAATTAGCCCTGGGAAATATTCACACAGCATCTTCTCGGCACAGCTTTCAACTTGTTTGGCCTGGAGTTTTCTGATAACTATGTCTCCACATAAATCAATAAGTACCTGTAGAAATGATTCACTCAATTCACAGATGAGTGGTCTTTATAAAAGCAAAAAGAAAATAGAAATAAAATTATCTAAATGAAAGAGACTTCTCATCGTGCTGATCATACTGAGAAATGTGTTTATATTGTCATTTTCACTTTTCTTGGTGGCTTGCATGAAGGAGGTTAGTTACAATATACAATATTTATTCATCTGCATTATCAAGTGCCTTTTGAGGCACATCCATAACCTTTTACATGTGCCAGCTTTGGTATTTGCATTCACCTATGTTTGCTGAATGCAAGTTCTTTTGCCAATGCACAGGCAGTAATGGAGTTTTACCTGTGAAAATCTCTTCTACAGTATGTACAGTGATGAAATCAAACCTTACATTCTGCTCTGGCCCATATGATAATTGTCATATACCATCTCTTCTGGAGCAGATCTGCTGTCCCTGTCAAAGAGCTCACAAAGCTGTGTGACTGAAGGGTGTGCCTTGACAGAGTCTCAGCTGCCTAAAAATCTCTGCCCCTCCTAATCATTTCAGGAGGTTTATGGAACTATTTAAAACTAAACAGTAACAGAATGGTGTAAAAGACTAAGATTAATGCAATTTAATTGACTGAGATGCAAAGTGAGTTCCATGCCTGAGAGATACTCAGCAAACACACATTTCCCACACCTTACCCTTTGAATCCAGTGGTTTTTGCAGTACAATTATCCGAATTGTTCCTCACCAAAAAAACTCAAACTTCCAAAAATGAGCACACATTATGCAGCACTGCCAGACACTATTACTCAAACAGGTAAGGCACAGCAATGAGAAGTTTTCCTCAAGACAATTCAGAATGCTTTCAGCAAGTCATCCTTGCCTGCCTTACTGCTTTTTTATCCAGTCTTTACAACTATACATAATAATTAGGCAGAAATGAAAAGACTGGGATAATTCAAGCTGTGAATACCCAGTTAATCACTGGAAAACCAGAAATTACTTAGAAGTCCACTCTGCACTGGGATTCTTTTCCATGCAGACATTAACAGAAAAAGAGAGGAGAATTTTGAAACCTGGTAGACAATTACGTGGTTTCATTGCTTGAAAGGAACAGTTCAGAATCAAATAGTAGAGATTTCACTGTCAGAATAACTGAGACTTTTTATTTCATCTGGAGTGGAGATACTTTGCTGGAAACCTAATCAGAGCTCTAAGATCTAAAAATTATGCTTGCTACCTTTAAAAGTAGAACACGGTGTAGGAAAGAAAGCTGGAAGTCCTGACTGTAACTCCAGTCCAGTTTTTCCTTCTAAAAGTAGGAATGTGATCTCTTAGATTTATATGTTTGTAGAATCTGGTACTTTAGCCCAATTCAAGATTTCAAATAGTGCTGCTCTACAAATATTTTATTAGAAAAATTAATAATTAAATGAATCCATGTTTTACTTTTCCATAGGAAAGGTGTTTCCTTTTCAGAGATATATGCTCAAGTGACATGTAAAAAGTAATTTCTATAGATATATTTC